AGGAGTGTCTCCCAAAATTGCTTGTCACCGTCTTAATGTAGACCCGACATTCAAGCCCATCCAACAAAAGCAGAGAAGGTCGGCTCCACAGCATAGGGATGCGGTAAGGGAAGAAGTAAAGAGGTTGCTAGAGGCATAAATCATAAAAGAAGTACAATACCTAACCTGGTTGTCAAATAAAATCGTGGTAAAGAAGAAAACTGGAAAATGGAGAGTTTGTGTAGATTTCACCGACTTAAATAAAGCCTGTCCAAAAGATTGCTTTCCGCTGCCCAAGATCGATCAACTGGTCGACAAAACTGCGGGACATGAAAGAATGAGTTTTCTCGATGCATATCAAGGTTATCACCAAATCCTCTTCACCGAGTAGGATCAAGAGAAAATGACATTCATAACCCCAGAAGGTATATACTGCTATAGGGCAATGCCATTCGAATTGAAAAATGCAGGGCAATGTATCAGAGATTGGTTACAAAGATGTTCTCTGAATTGATTGGCAAATCTATGGAGGTCTACATTGGTAATATGGTAGTGAAGAGCTGAGCTAGAAGTAATCACATTGCCGACCTAAGGATAACCTTTGAAGTCTTATGCAGGTTCAAAATGAAGCTGAACGCTTCAAAATGTGTATTTGGAGTTGGGTCGGGCAAGTTCCTCTGGTTCATGGTGACTTACCATAGGATAGAAGCAAACCCAGATCAGGTGTCAGCACTAACTCAACTGGAACAACCAAAAACCATGAAGGAAGTACAAAAGCTAACTGGAATGGCTGTAGTGCTCGGGAGTTTCATTTCTCGTGCCTCCGATAGGTTTTTCCAGGTGATTAAGAAAAGGACCAGCCCACTATGAGATCAACAGTGCAAGGAAGCTTTTATCGAACTAAAGACCTATTTGGCATCATCTCTACTTTTAGAAACCCCATTCCCAAGGGAGCGATTGTTACTATATTTAGCAATGTTCAAGCACACTGTTAGTGCAACACTGATGAAAAATTTAGAGAAGGGGTTGAGTCTTATCTATTATGTTAAATAGATGCTTCTTGATGCAGAAACAAGGTACCTGCCATTAGAAAAACTAGCACTTGCACTAGTAAGTGTGGCTCAGAAATTGTGCCACTATTTTCAGGCACACACGATAGTGGTGCTCACAGATCAGCCACTCAAAGCTTTGTTCAGAAAAGCCAACTTGACTGGTAGGATCTAAAAATGGGTGATCGAGTTGGGTAAATTTGATGTATAGTTCGAATCTCGAACGGCTATTAAAGGACAGGTCATAGCCAACTTCTCTCCTAGGGATCCTAGTACACCTTCCATGTCACTGGGGTCAGAATCGAATTCGAACCAAGGATGGAGTTTGTTTGTTGATGGGGCCTCAAATTTCAAAGGGGCGGGAATAGGTATTATATTAGAAAGTCTAGAAGGAGATGTGCAAGAGAAAGCAATGAGACTCGGCTTTGACATGTCAAACAATGAGGCAGAGCATGAGGCTCTATTGGCAGGGCTGAAGTTAGCGGTTGGACTAAACGCCAGAACACTCAAAATATTTTCTGACTCACAGCTCATAGTAAATCCGATATTGGGGGAGTACTCGACAAAGGACGAGAGAATGATGTAGTACTATGAGCTCGCAAAAAAGGAGCTCGATAAAATTCTAGAATATTCCATCAGTCAAGTCAGCCGTTCAAAGAATACCCACGCTGATGCTTTGGCATCTTTAGCCTAAGTGGTAAACAATGAAGGAGCGAGATTCATCTCGATAGATTACTTAGATGAGCCAAGTATATCCACTACGAAAGAATGTGAGGTGTACATTATGGAGGAAGGACTAAGCTGGATGGACGAAGTCATTAAGTATCTCAAGGATGGAAAGCTTCTCGAAAATAGGAAGGAAACACATAGGTTACAAATCAGGTCGGCTAGGTTTTGGTTGTCACCTCATCAGTAACTGTACAGACTTTCCTCTATCAGTCTGTATTTGAGATGTGTACACCTGACTTGGTGCAAGATTTCCTTTTCGAAATCCATGAAGGAAGTTGTGGTGCACACATCGAGGGTCGGTTATTAGCTCATAAGGCCATATCTCAAGTGTATTGGTGGCTCTACATGCAAAAGGATGCTCAGCGGTTTGTCAAGATATGTGCCCAGCTGTTTGTCAAGAAATGTGCCAAGTGTAAAATGTTCTCCCCTATCCCAAGACAACCCATAGGGGACCTGATTCTGTTAACAAGCCCTTGGCCCTTCGCTCAATGGGGCCTTGACATAGTGGGATCTCTACCTAGGGTACTAGGTAACAGGCGATTCTTGTTGGTTGCAACAGACTATTTTATGAAATGGGTAGAGGCGGAGCCTTTAGCCAATATAAGGGACGTGGATACTAGAAAATTTGTATGGAAGAATATCATAACCAGATTCGGGATTCCTGTGGTCCTCATATCTGATAATGGAACTCAGTTCGAAAGTGGTCCTTTTAGAACTTTTTGCCAGCAGTACAGAATTCAGAATCGGTACCCTACTCCTGCTTACTCCCAAAGTAATGGACAAGCAAAAATCTCGAATAGAACAATTCTGGATGGGATTAAGAAAAGGGTAGAAAAGGCAAAAGAAAAATGGGTAGAGGAGTTGCCCAGCGTGTTATGGACTTATCGAACCACGCCACGCCGAGCAACTGGGGAGGTCCCATTTGCATTGGCATATGGCATGGAGGTCGTTATACCCCTGGAGGTAGGGTTGCCAACCCTCAGATCTACTTTAGCAATGACCCAGGACAACGGTTCTACCATTAGCAGGAAGCTTGATTTTCTAGAAGAAAAAAGAGAAACAATAGCTGTTCGGATGGCTGCCTATCAACAACAAATGGCTAAGTCATATAATAGGAAGGGCGGTTCTAGATCTTTCATGCTTGGTGATTTGGTTTTGAGGAAGGTTATGGGGTCTACCATAGAGCCATCCCACGGAAAGCTAGGGGCTAACTAGGAAGGACCCTATAGAGTATCTCAGGTCATTGGTAACGGGTCTTATGAGATTGAGAGTATGGAGCCGAAGCGAGTTCCCAGACTTTGGAATATTGCCAACCTGCAAAAATTTTTTTTTTGAAGAGCTTGCATAATTAAAAGTCCAAAGTACCTTTGCAATACTCTTTGTACCTATATTCTCTTTTTTGATTGTTAATAAATTTCTGATCATGGAGAAGGAAATTCATTCGTAAAAGAAGTATTCGCATTAGCCACTCTCATCCTACTGGCAAGGAGATGAGGCAAAAAAAATCTGTTAGAGGCACAGGCCATAATCAGGCGCAACCACATGATTGGACCCAGACCTATGGTTATGCATGATGATGTAAACCAAAAAATTAGAGGTCCAAGTCTGATTAGATCGGCAGGTCGGTGCGAACGAATTAATTTACAATATCAGTGATTTTTAAATGTCACGTTATTTGCAAAATTTTGTAGTTGCAATGTGTCCCTAGCAGAAGTGTTGGAACCTAGCTTGAAAGAAGGGCCAAACTAGGCCAAAAATTTTGAGCAATATTTTTTCTACGTTAAAACGTGTCCCTAGCAGATGTGCTGGGACTTAGCTCTAAAGAGGGGCCGAACTAGGCCAAAATTTTTGAGCAATATTTTTTCGAAGTTAAAATGTGTCCCTAGCAGAAGTGCTGGGACCTTGCTCAAAAGAAGGGTTGAACTAGGCCAAAAATTTTGAGCAATATTTTTTCTAAGTTAAAATGTATCCCTAGCAAAAATGCTGGGACCTAGCTCAAAAGAAGGGCCGAACTGGGCCCAAACTCGATAAGCACTATTTTTTCTAAGTTAAGATGTGTCCCTAGCAGGCGTGCTGGGACCTTGCTCTAAAGAGGGGCCGAACTAGGCCAAAAATTTTGAGCAATATTTTTTCTAAGTTAAAATGTGTCTCTGGCAGAAGTGCTGGGACCTAGATTAAAAGAAGGGCCGAACTAAGCCCAAACTTGTTGAGCACTATTTTTTCAAAGTGAAGATATGTCCCTAATAGGCGGGCTAGGACCTAGCTCTAAAGAGGGGTCGAATTAAAGCCAAAACTTTTGAGCAATGTTTTTTTGAGTTAGGATGTGTCCCTAGCAGGTGATCCAAAATTGGTTAAAGTTAAAGTAAAGCTAAACAGAAACAAAGGCAAATTTTTCATTAATGATTGCCAAAAGATGTTTCCCTTTACATGGATTCTTTTAAGGAACAGAAGGGGTGTTGGAAGAGCTTGGCACCAAGTAAGGCATGTACAATTCAGATGAAGGAGGAACATTAGCAACCTTTAAAATAACAGCCCAACCTTTCACAAAAAAGGCCTTCTCCAGCGTAGGAATCTGCAGAGCAAGACACTTTTCGTCTTCTCCATTCCTTGATCAAAGGCAGAATCTTCAAGACTCTTCGCCTCGACCTTGAACTTGTCAAATTCCTCCAATAAGGAAGAGTGCTCAAGCTGAGTTTGTGATAGATCCAGGCTAAGAGAACTCTCAAAAGCCTTCAAAACCTCCACCTCTTTGGCCAGGTTATCATTCTACTCTTTTAGGCTAAGAGATTAAGCTTGAAGGAGAAGCGTCTCCTCACAAAGCTTGGCGTATTCTTCATCAACAGACTCTTTCTTGGCTAGGGTAGACATGCGGTCATGAATGGCTTCCTTCATTGCTTTATCCTTCCTTGCAATTCTAGCACTCACCTCGTGTACCTTTTGCAACCTCTTTTTTGAAATAAAACATTTTCAGTGTACAAAATAAAGTTTGAGAAGAGGAGACTGAAAAAGTAAAGAGACCGAGAAAAAAACCATAACCATTTGTTGAATAGCTTGCCTAGCAATCTCATCATTAGAAGCTGCTTCATTCATTGCAAGGTCGCGGGGCAGAATCACGCCCCTAGCAATTCCTACTACCACATTCATATCTTTAGTAGAAGAGTCACGAATTGTGATCTCTTTTGCCTTAAGTATGAGATGACAGACATTCCTCAATCTTTTAGGAGATTCAAGCCGTCTCCTTTTTTACAGTTGTTCCTCGGGGTCGGCAATAGTAGATTGAGGAGAAGAGATTATGACATAATTGATATTTTCGTCAACAAGAGGCTCAGAAGGAGGAATCGAAGTAACAGTGGGAGGATCAATCGATGGCACTTCGGGTTCCGATTTAGTAGGAAGATTGACAGTAGAAGGAGCATGAGTTTTAATAATGGCTGGACGATCACTGGGATTGGAGGTATGATCAGGACCAAGAGTGAGGTCGATAGGTTGAGTAGATTGAGAAGTTATTTTGGTCTGGACTGGCAACATTGAAGAGGCAGTTTCGCCTGGCTCACTAGCATAAAGAAGATTGAGGAAGTTCTTAACTGGCCTGCTTCGCCTAGAATGAGCAGTAATAGCCTTCTGATGTGCGCGAGGTGTAGCGGCATGTTGAACCTGGAGCTCGACTCGGTCTTCGGCAAGAGTTGCATTGGCCCGATCAAGTACAGCGATGAATGAATGGTACGTAGGAGTATACCCCAATAAAACATCTGCTCGGCAAAAGAGGTTCTCATTATAAGACTACACCTTCTTTAGGTCCTCCATTTTTACCGAACTCTAAGCAATTTTGTTTGATAGTTTCTCCTAGATAAAACATGAGACTTTAAGTACTTGCATTTCAAAAAAAAAAATGGTTCTTGGCCACAAACTATCATATACCTAGCGCACCTTCTCATAAGGGCATCGATAAGAAGGTGTTTCTCTACCTCTGTACCCCCGAGTTCTTAGAAACAAATATGATATCATTTTCGTGACCTTTGTTTGAATCTGGGAGGTGGGTGACTAAGTATCTATCTTTCCTCCTCACTGCCAAGTAATAGTTGTCACCGATAGTCTTCAAAATGTAACATAAAAGAATCTCTCAGAGGCCCAGGTTGATATTCAAGGGATTGTTCAAAGCTTCAACCCCCATAACTATCTTGAAAAAGTTAGGGCAGCACTAGATGGGGCAAAGTTTTGTAGCTGTGAGGACCCAAAGCAGTAGGGGATGCAAGGGGAATCTCACCCCACCTTCAGTAATGACCCTCGTATGAATAAGGATTGATTCCCTAGTTCCAACCAATGGCTCATCATTACCTAAAACTCGAATGTCGACATCGTCGGGGATATCATATATGCTTCTGAATGCTGGAATACCTTCGGTTAGGAGGGGAGCCATTTGAAGGAGGATGTAGAGTAAAAATGAAGAACTTCAAGGGTAAGGGAGTGAAGAAGAAGAAAAAAGACAAAGTATAGAAAGTAAAAACTGAAACATTTTTATATTAAGGAAAGAAGGAAGTCAAGAGGTCAAAAGTACGAGCATTCAATGAGAAGAGACAGTTGCGTGTCTCTAAAACCCAACCAAGCATGATCCTAAAGCACATGAAATGTTTGCGAGACAAATGATGGCTGACATTCTCTTCATGGGGGCAAGTGAAGGGGCATAAAAGTTAAGCCATGTGTAAATGGTCATGCGAGGGGTTAAGCCCTGCAGAGCTCAAGGTGAATTGCCCAAGTCGACAAAAGGGCCGAGCAGAAATTCTTCGGTTGGGGAGATAAGAATTGAATGGCATGATTGAAGCCTATGTTCAAAGAATCTGATTGTATCAATCTAAGCTATAATCAAGGGAGCGTTCGAGAAATCTAGGAGAGACCTAGCAGAAAATGCTGAATCTTATGGGATAGATAAACCATCTCCAGAATGATAAGTCAGTTGGAGACTATATAAATAGGCAAAGGAGAATAGTGAAGGTATTCAATTTCCTTCTAATACAGAGTTAAATTTTCTCTTTTTATTTATTGACTTAAACATCGGAGTGTCTTCAATTGAAGCACTTTGATCTTAGACAATTTGTTCGTTTTGCAAGAATTTTGGTCCTGGGAGGAAGTTGCATAGCTTTCTAGGGCGTCAGGGAGCTTTTTGACCTCTTACACCTTGGTTTATTTGGGAATGACTAATCCCATTATTTATGGGATTAGTTATTCTTTAGGAATGAGAATGAAATTTTATTCCCACAAACCAAACAAAGGAATAAGTATTACTAAAGAATGGTCATTCCATTCCTAAGGTCTAATACCATGTACCAAATGCAGTGTAATTAAATAAATTTATTGTGTTAACCATCTTATTATTTGTTCCTTACTAAAATTTACCCTAATTTTATTAACTCTGTATTGATTCTATGTTACTAATAGAAAGAATTGACAATGTTTTTTACAGCAATGTTATATAGAGACTTAATTCAATACAACACAACAATTAGTTTAGTTATGAGTTACAATGTTAGATAGAATCTATTTTCAACCTAATAGTTATAGTTGATTAGATTCCTACATTAAGTCTCTAAATTAAGTTTAAAAAGTATTTTTTTTAGAGCGATACTACTTTATAGCTTAATTTGCTAACCAAATTATTCACAGTTACAATCATTGAATTGATAGCGAGTTTTAGTATTTGTTGGAACTCATTATCAATTTAATATATTAACAAATTAGCTGCCATAGCACAAAAAAAAAATTATGTTAGCAAATTAGCTCATAATAGTATTATTTTTTAAGAGAATTACACTCAGACCCCTTGAGATTTATCATTTAATCACTCAGATCTCTGACATTTGAAATATTACAAACATACCCCTTAATGTTTTTACGCTCGTAACACTTAAACCCTAGCTATTAATTGTCCATTAGCATATTCGTTAATAAAATTACATCTAAATCCCCTAAAGTTTATAGACGTATAATACTTAGACCACTCAAGTTTAAAATATCATACTTAGACCAGAAATACTCCAATCAAAAATAAAATATTAAATATTTTAAATTTTATAACTAAAATTCATGTTCTATTGTATCAGTTATTAAAATTAAATCAAAAATAAAAATGTAATTATTTCTTAAAAATTTATAATTAGTATACAATTATACTATCTATTGGAATAAAACTAAAAAATCAAATAAGGGGTCTAAGTGATTCATAATATAACATAAATTTCATATCTAAAATTTATATTTTATTATGTCATTTATTTAAATAAAATCAAGAATAAAAATCAAACAGTTTGCACTGAACTACGAACGGATAGCATGGAGCCGCGTCATAGGTTCCCTCCCGGAGGATCCGACGGCTGTAACGTCGTCGGAGGAAGTGAATGAGTGTTTTAGGAGATTTAATTCGTTGTTTGATCAGGCGTACAAGAGGCATTCTGTGTGCATCGTACCTGATAGTAAGCTCCGGGACGAAATCAAAGTCTCCATAGCCAGAAAGCTTGTTGGGGTGTATCAAGAGTTCTACAGTGCGCATAGCTTTGTGATCAGAAGAGAGAGAAATTTGGCTCTTGAAGTCAGATATACCCCTGAGGATGTGTGGAATTACTTGTCAGATATCTTCTATGGTGAAAGGCTGTGTCGGGGAGTTCTTCGTCATTTTCTATGTCAACATCACAATTGCGCCCCGTCGGGGTTTTTCTTGTCTTTTTATCGTACACTATTATAAATACTAGTTGATGCACAAGTGCGTGACACGTGAACTGTATTTTATAAAAATATATATATATTAAAATCATCAACAACAATTCTATAAATTCACTTGTTTAGTAAAGATTGATAAATAATTAGTGAAGAATCACAAAACCCCCAAAAAATACTAAAGAACATAATATTTCATTTTAACTCAAATACATAATTCTCGATTTCATCCTTATATCTTGTATCTCTTAGCATAATTGGAGGAACATCAAGAAGCAGAACTGTACTCGATGATTTATTTTTTGCAAAGGATCTTGAAATAGTAATTATATGTAAGTAGCCACATTTCCTTTTTCCCACAACCAAATGGAATAAATTCGCCACGCGACTTTAACAAAATCGGTATCAAAATAAGCAAGCAACACTTGGACATGAAACAACATATAAAATTAGGTTCTATTGTCCACTTGTATGCTGATTTTTAAGACATTAATTCTTCCATTAAAACTTAGATAACATTAAGCATTCATGTAAGCTTTTTTTCGTTTAAAAGAAATTAATTTTTAATAGTGTTCATTGGCGGGGTTAGAGAATAAATTTTTGGGTTTACTTAGCTAAAATTAGTAATTATCTATCATAAAAAAGATTAAAAACACCATTTTCTATTCTCCATTTTTACGTTGACATGTCGAAATAAACAAAACATAAAACATACATTTGAGCAATTGCCTAAATTATATCACCATCAATAGCCTAGACCGTGAGGCATTGAGCAAGGCTATGAATATAAAAATACGAACAATAGTGGAGAACAAGAGCTCTATTTACAGTTTCTTGCTGGAAACACTAATTGAGATGGATAATAATCAATACACATGACCACACCTCATTACAAAAATTGTCCACTTATTCAAAATAAAAAAGAGTGACGAAGAAATACAAGAATGTGGAAGAGAGATGGAAAAATCATTGTTCATATCATCCACACTTTTTCAATAAACTTGCAAATTAAATATTTATTTGTGCTTTATTTGTTTCAGTTAAGTCAAGATTATATTCATGGGTTTAGCTATGTGAAATATTTCAATAGAAGATAATTTGCCCCAAATACAATTTATGATTACCTGACTGGAAAGTTTCTTTTGTCTGATTATGAAGTATAATGTCGCAAGCAGCAAGCATATATCATGGCCCCAATCTCCAAACTTCACGGCGAAAAAAAATGGAAACGTAACAATTATATAAACACCAGGCCACCCTGCAATATTTCATTAATCACATACTTTGCAGGACTTTGTAAACTTAAAAATGACACTTGAACCAGTTAAGATACTATTAAGACAATATGTAACTGGTGCAATGGGGGAAAAACAACACTAAAGCAGCATGCCCTCATGCACTTCTTCTCACATAGACGAATGAAAATCAAACAATAAGCAAGTTTATGATTAGATTATATGAGGAGATAAATTGAATAAGAATGCTTTGAAGCTATTTAAAAAAATGAAATAATTCTCTGCAATGACAAGTCACACAAGGAACATATTTATATAATAAATTCAAATCTCAAAAAATAAATAAAATGACTTTTGTTATTCGCGGTTGAGATATTTTTAAATTTTACTTTGAAGTTAATCTGACAGTTAATATTAACACTCCGAATTTAATATGAAAAATATGGGCCTAAGGGTATGTTTGAATTGACTTTTCAAAAGTATTTTTGATACTTATAATTTCTCCTAAGTACTTAAAAAATAGTATTTGAAAACTGCCCCACCAACACCTCTACCACCACCACCCCACCACAATCACCACTACCACCATCGCCACCATTGTCGTCATGCTACCACACTCATCGCCTCACCACCACTGTTTTTGCCACCACTATTGCCAACCCACCATTACCTCTTCCATAACAACCACCACCACCTCTTCCACAACAATCACCACCGCTGCCCAACCATCTCCACTATTGTAATCCCACCACCACCACCCCCATTAGTGCCCCACCTTACCACCGTTGTCACCACCTTATCACCACCGTCACTATACCACCATCACTCCTACCACATAACACCACTGTACCCTAACCACCATCACCAATGTCACCTATAATTGGTTGTCATCATCCATCACAACTATCACTGTCTCTCACCACCACCACTCCCACTCACCATCGCTCGCCCCACTATAACCAGTGCTTAAATTCCTTTATTTATCCTCTATCTTTGTAATTTTATTTTAGATATGAATACAAATATGTTTATTGTTAACTATTTTTTTATTACTACATGTCTTCAAGCACGGAAAATAACTAATTTATAGATACCAACAGTAAACCCCAATAAACTTTTAATGTGGTGTAGTTTCGCACCCAAGGAAGGTCAGCCATGAAAGGTTAGCCATGAAAGGTCAGCCAAGTAATATTATTGCTTGATTGGCCATAATGTGATCAATTTTTAAGAGCCAGAAATTAGTTTTCGTCCAAAAGTTGTGTAAATGAAAAATGTGCATTGATGCACCTATGATAAAAATCCTTTTTTCCATGGATCTCAATGTGATCTAAATAACATTGGGTTGAGAGCAAAAAAATGAAAAAAAAAAAAAAAGTTAAGATAAACAAAAGGAAATTATTTTAAACTAACCTTACTTGGGATTGGGCCATGAAACACAGAATCTCGGCCACTGTTCCACTAAGGATTGTTGGAAATGCAAATATATCGAGTAAAGCCTTTCATGCCCTATGAAAAATTTCTCTTATTTAATATGTTTTTTTTTGTTGACTTCTTACATTGAAATTCTAAAGATTTTATTAAAGAACGATGGATTTAATGAAAAACTATGCTTGTAACTGGTCAACAACTAGTCCTCGTACTCAAAACACAGATTTAAGAAAAATATAATTAACGAAACATTTGGTGATGTTGTAATTGGGTAGGGTATTATATTTAAAGGCGTAAAACCCACAATAGATGGTTTTAGGATATTCATGGGGGGGGGGGGGAATAAATTTAAATATGGATTGAATATTATAAGGTTCTACGCCACATTCTCTACTTTATTATGTGAAACAAGAGTTGTAAGGATGGATTCACGTAGGGATGAATCAAAGATTTCATAATGAGTTACAAAATTTTCAAAAAATTCTAGAGGGAATGAACATTAAACCAAAACTTTCCTCTAACCTCTCTTTCGAGCTTTGAGACCTTCTCCATTAGTGCCTATTGGTTCCTCCTTTCCATTTTCACCTTGTCTAACAATCTTGCATCTCTAAACCGTCTCCAATCCTCCAAGTTCTCCAAAACTACCTTCGCAACACTCTCATTCAACGAACCTATCGGCGGTGGCGGCAGACCATGAACAAAAACCACCGCCTTCCCCTTCCCCAAATTTCTAGAGTTTGTGGCAGTGCCGCTTTTCGACGCCTCCCTTCGTGGCGTTATCGATATCACAGACCTTGAATTTCTCTACAGTGTAAACATCTTGAAAAAACACTCCCAATCACTCTTATAGAGTGATTTCATAAACGAAATAAGACCTTGATGCCAATAAACGGAGTTTTCTTAAAACCCTAGAAAGAAACCCTAATTTTTACCGTAAAAATTTTATTGAAGTAACCGGAGGTCAACGAAATATCTGAAAACTCCAACGAGGGAATATACAAAGCACAAAATTCCTCTCTTTTGTGAAATGCAAAGCAAGTGTCTGAGCTTTTTTATGATGCAGTGTGGTCTTTCTAGTGAAGAAAATTGGGGAGAGATAGATGGAGAGGGGGACGGTGAAGGGAGGGGGCATGACGGTGTGCCCTTGGCGAAGAGGGAGAGAGAGAGAGATCTTACCAATGGATGCACCACTTGGAACATCAGCTCTTTCTTTTTTTTCTTTTGATAGATGCACATCAAGCTACATAAATGTAAACATACTCACAAATCCTATTAGTTGAAAACTCAATCTGTGCATGACCCAGAAATTGTAAACAAATTAAAGTGGTTTTGAAATAGAAAAAATTATCTATGATAAGAAATTGAAAGAAAGATCTGGTACTGTTAGATTGTCTCTACTGTTGAAGATTTGACATGCCTTCACAAACTAGTTCGTGGCCATGGCTTTAGTTTAGATCTGGTACTGGGTTAGAGAGAGAAAGAGGGTAACAACTGGAAAGTAATTAGTGGTGAAGACTAGGTTTAGTATGACATTAACTCTTAAGGATAGAGATCAGATAATTGTAATATCAAAAGGCAAAGGTGAAAAAAAATGTTTTTCATATATGCTTAAAGTAGTATAGATATATAGGAGAGATTCAAATTCGAGACCTTGAAAGTGTAAAAGTAGGGAAGGTGACCATTTGGCAAAATCCCTAACCTCCCCATTGGGGGTTTATTTATTCAATTTTTAAATAATGATTCAGCGATTTCTAATGGAAGCATATAGAAAATGTAATTAAATACATTGAAATAAAAAAAGAAAATTTTGTTGTGGATTTATCTACTAATGTTTTTAAGATCTTAAGGATAAATTTATGTGCATCAAATTTATGCACTAAAATTAGTTCCAAATCAATTGCAAGCATTAAATCAATGATGAGATCTACTGATGTAACGACTACAAGTAAGTTGGTGTAAATTTTGGTGCACATAGCATTGCTTTGGTCTTAAATATGATAATTTGCTTTATCTGACATGCTTAGTTCAGAAGACACCCAAAAATTGAAGATAATAATTGTCTAAGAGATGTATGATAATATTTCATTTTTCTTTTGTTTGTTTTGATTTTGTTTTCATTTTTTCAAACCCAAAACACGTATAATAAAAACTTTGAAAAAATAAGTGATAAACAGCCTCATTCTCATTTTTTTTATCTCATCCAAAATGATCATTTGTCACGAATTGATGTGGAATTCATTATGCTCAAATGAATTTCCTATGTTACATGGTAGATGATTGGATTAAAAAGAATTGGAAAGGCGGCAAATCCATTCGCTAATTATGGTAATGAAAAATGATTAGTTAATTGAAACGGAAAATTTTAACACTACTATGAGTAGGTGTATTAACCCACATTCTCTCGGATGGGCAATATATATTTTTTTCTTTATTGTTGCTTGAAATTGATTGGGTCAATTGAATGCAATCAAACGGGTGCAATGAATTTCCATTTTAAATTACTATTTTTATGACAGACGGTTGAAAGATTTATAGAACTCTGCCGGTCTGCCTTAACTATAATTTGATATTTTGGTCTATTTGTGTGTGTGAGAGAATGAAATAAATCTACTTGGAATATTTGAATGAATTGATTCCACCACCTTAGTCCAAAAGCTACTTTTATTTTTGTTGCAAGATGGTTAGATTTGTGTCGACTACTCGTTTGAATTTTAAACACACTATTATAATTTGATCTAATTTAATGACTTGTGCCATAAAAAACAAGTATAATAACCCTTAAAAGATATGAGAAGTATCGAACTTAAGACATTTTACTTGTAAAAGAACAAGTTTGACCATTAGACCACCCTAAAAAATTTTTAAAAAAAAAAACCCTTTTTAATTTGGAGTAACAAGCCTGCAACACTCACGGATATCGATATCTGATGATAGATGTATCTCATTAATTACTAGGACAAATCCCCTTTTATCTAAATTCCACATACTTTTATAATTCCTTGGTGTAAATTGCTTGTCGAGTTTGTATTTCTTCAGATTCGAGTCTCCATTGTGACTAGAAGAATACGAGAAGCTCAAATGACAAGACTATATTCTTGCTCAATTTCAACTCGTGAGTGTGGCTTACAAACCTAATTTGACCTAAAACCATGCTCAATTTCATAACAAAAATGTTTAGTAATTAAACTTTATAGTATCAAAATTTTCAAAAATCTATTTATTACTATTACTGTTATATTGGAAGAAGGTGGGGTTTGAATGCCCACATCTAAAATACTTATAACACCATATTTTCTTCTCACTTTAACCATCCATAGCCCCTAAACTATCACTAACTCCCTATAATTTACTTATAACCACTAAATAGTATATACCTTTCCACTCTCATATCTCTCCCAAACATCTTCCTAGATCACAATGTTAAAATCACACACACAGGTGACTGTGTGTAGGATTCACTAATCAAATAAAAGAGACATCGAGAGAAGTGTATATGGATTGAGATTATTTGAAAAAAAAGTTCACAGTTAGTCATATCGTGATTATTTGGTGACAAACTTAAAACTATTTATATACAAAGACATACTCAAGTGAAATTGAGCCTATTCGAACCAAATTATATATCACTTAGATTCAACTTATTTAAAAGACAAACTCAAAATATGATCATATTTAATTCATTTAATAGTTTGAACAAACTTAAAAGAGCCAAATCCGAATTCAAATCAATTACGAATGCATCAAATCGTTTAACAATTTTAAACTAAATTTGGGTTTGTGTGATGAGTAAGGTTATAAGAAATTAACAATTTACTTAATTTATTGATATACTAATGTGTGAAATAAAAAAATTTAACAATTACAATTGCGATTACAATTACAATATTCCTATTAAATCTCAATACTACCTCATCAACTAAAATATTAAGCCACATTTAAGTTCAATAATAATGCTATTCAGGTCAAGCAACGGATGACTACTAACGGCATTTTGAATTGGTTAATTATAAATTGTCCCTTCAACTTTGGATAGTTTGCAAATTAGTCCTTCAAGTTTTAATTTCAACATATAACCCCTTTTAAGTTTGGATATTTTGCAATTAACTCCAATAGTTATTTTAGACAATAAAAATTGACAAAAGTTAGACATGCCCAATTTACGTGATTTCTACTTTGTTGCAAAACGATAATTACCCTTAACCCGTTTTCTTCTCTGTACCAAATGTCCATATTTCTTCCCTTACCCTTATACTATTCCATCATCTCTTACGTTGAATGATTAACTCTCATTTTCTTCCCCCTTCCGATAGAAACCCTCAATTCCATATAATGAGATGAAGGTGACTGTTTCCTTATTTTTTAGTCTTATTTTCTTTTAATGATAAAATTGATATCTCAAGAAAAAAAATGAAAAATAAATTACAAGACGGATATAATGGTTCTTTCAGGTGTTCAGCAATTGTTGTTAGTCAATTTAATCCACTTAAAACTTAGAAAGGGCAAATTATAGTATTTGAAACTATAAGGAACTAATTGCAATAAGGAACATAGTTGGGGGGATAGATTGTAATTAACAATTTTTGAATATCCCTACAATGGCCTTGTCTTCCCCGTCAGTCCTCTCTTTGTTCTTGCAAACTCCAGTTGACTCCTCAACACCACTCTCTCCACCCCCAAAATGGCAAAACTGCACCTCTTCCTCATCATTCTTACCCTCCTCTCCTTCACCACCGCCGAGATCGAGACCATAAAGGTCACTTCCGATTCCCGCCAGATGATCGTCTTCCAGAAATTCGGCTTCACCCACGCCGGCCACCTCTCTATGTCCGCCTCCGTCAGCTCCTCTTACTCCTCCACCGACCCTTCTCGCCTCGGTTTCTTTCTCCTCTCCGAAGAGTCCTACATCCAAGTCCTCCTCGAACTCATGCACAATCCCAGCTTCTGCATCATCGACTCCAAATTCATCTACCTCCTTTTCACTTTCCGCGACCTCTCATCCCATCCTCACTCTTCCTTCAACCAATCCTACCCCGTCACTGTCCCCAATGAATACTCCCTCTACTTCGCCAATTGCGTCGCTGAATTACAAGTCACCATGGATGTCCGTACAGAGCTCTACAATCTCGATTCCGGAGCTTCCAAGGACTATCTCTCTGCAGGGTTGACTCAGCTCCCCTCTATCTATTTCCTTTTCTTCCTCATATACTCATATTTTCTCGGGTTTTGGTTGTACCACTGTTACCGTACCAGAAGATCAGTACATCGGATCCATTTACTCATGACCCTATTGATTATAACGCAAACTCTAAATTTAGTCATCTTGGCCAAGTATAAACAATGTGTTAAGGTCACAGGGACAGCCCACAAATGGAATATACTTGTCTACGCATTTCAATTGATTAGGGTTCTACTTTTGTCTACGGTGATTATATCGATTGGTACCTGGTGGTCATTTTTGGAACCCTCTTTGCAAGGAAAAGGTGGTAAGAAGGTGTTGATGATAGTGATTCCGCTACAGGTTCTGAGCAATGTGGCTTCCATGGTCATTGGAGAAACGAGTCCGTTTACAAAAGATTGGGTGACCTGGAGACAGGGGTTTCTCTTGGTGGATATTGTATGTTGTTTTACAATTATTTTCTCAATTAGATCCTCGTTGAGGAAGGCATCGAAGATGGATGGGAAGGCCGCGAGGAATTTGGGGAAGTTGTCTGTATTTAGGAAATTCTATATTGTGGGTATTGGGTACTTATTTTATACGAGGATTGTTGTGTTTGCCCTGCTGACAATCACTACATATAAGTATCAGTGGGTGGCCTTTGCAGCTGAGGAAATCGGAAGTCTTGTGTTTTATATGGTGATGTTTTATATGTTCAGGCCAATGGAAGAGAATCAGTACTTTGATCTTGACAAGGAGGCTGCAAAGGAGGCTGCGGAGATAACTCTCTGGGATCCTCTGGTGAAAGCATGATCTGGTAATGGCATCTTATTTCGATATGTATGGTAATAATTGTAAAGCCTATGTTTGTAGGTTTCTTGTCTGTCAAATAGTTTTACAATAACATGTGTTGTTTTTAAACCATTGTATAACATGATGACGTTTTCATATGTTACAAGGGAACTTTGTTTTATGCTTCAAACCTTGTTTTGAGCTAAGGTTGTATATATTCTTGGCCACAAAAAAAAAAAAAGCTAAGGTTTTATATATTTCATAATTATTGAAAGGGTTTTATGTATTACATATTAATTGTCATCCTATTTGATGATGGTGTCAAATCACTTTGGAAAGTAAAATTTGAGCTATAAAGTTGAGCAGCCAAGCAAGGTTGTTGATTGTGGGAATAGAGCAACTTTATTCTTTTCTCACTTTTTGCTAGAGTGGGAGAGGGGTGTGGCCCTGTGGGGAGAGGGAAGGGGTGGGGACTATGGGTTCTAGGGGGAGGTAATTGTGGGTTTTGAACACCGGTGCCATGGAAGCAGAAGAAGAACGGTTTTGTTGGATTCATTGAAGAAAAAAAGAAAAAAATAAATAGAAAAACATATTCTTTGGGGACATCGAAGAAGATGAAGAAGAAAAATACTAGTTCATCTACATAACTTGTTTAGTCATGAAGGAAAAAAGAAAAGAAGAACAAGTTTGATGCTGAAAAAGAAGGAAAGGAAAAAGCATAGAATTGGTTCACCCATAGAACCGTTATGGTGAAGCAAGGGGCGATGGGGGTTTTGAGGCTGGTTTTGTTTTGAAATTAAAAATAAACCAATGAGGGATAATCATATGTTTTTGTCAATATTGTAACTTAAGTTAAATGTGCATTTTGAACCAGAGACTATAAGAAGTCTCTGTGTTATGTGCTTATATTTTAACAATTGGGGTGAAGACTGAAGACTAAATGAAAAGCCAAAGGTAAAACGGAATTTGCCCAAAAATTTATTTGTTCATACCATGTCCATCAAAGAACATGATCGAGATAAGGCCAAAATACCTAGGTAATGCAGTCAACCTCTTCCTAATGATAAATGAATTTCATCAAATCATGTTCCTTTAAGTTAGAGAATTGATCAATTCCACTTATGAATTTCCTCTTGAATCTAGTAATAAATTAGGATTGCTATTCATTTTCCACTGAAAGGTTTTGAGTATACGGGGGATTAGGTTTGGATAAGGATGGAACTCATTTCCTTTATTATTCTTTCCTTCCCCTGTTCTCTGTCCAATAAAATGAAATCAAAGTGATTTCTTTTTTCTTTTTGTTTTACCTCAAGTATTGATAGATGTGGCATACAAAGTATGATTAGCATAGTCGAAATGCATACTGATGATGCTCAGAAACAACGGCCCAAGCCCAATAGACGACATTGTGAAAATGTTAATGGAGCAGTTAAATAAGTGGCAGGTCAACAGTGAATAGCAGAACAAGAAGTGTAAATGATTCACCTTAGTCGAGGGACTAAGGTTATGTCCACTATACAGGGAGTATCTTGTTCCTTGAGATTGTAAATTACTTAATCCTTGGTGAGTATATCGATGATACAGGCGTTGGGTTCGTTACAGAGGGTAAGTGCATTGCTCTAACTGCTAGGTTTTTGGCTTAAGAGAGTGGGTAGGAAGGAGAAGATCCCCCTTTCGTTAGGTAACAGTTCTTTATTTATGCAATGATTCTTCTAGGGTTTCCTGTTTCTCCTCCTTCTGTTGTGCCGATTTCGTGGGTCCACCCGTCTGCGCCCTATGGCACACTCTGTCATCTGGCACCACTGTTCATCTGTGATCTCTAGTGGTTATGCGCTCCAGCCTCCCCTGTTGTGTGACTGTCATAGGTGTCAGGAGTGGTCCCTGAGCCTTCAAGATACATGGCTCAATGAGAGTGATTCAAGGAGGGCATTGGGGGCAGGCTTCCATCTTGTGGGCCACTCATTGACTGGGCTAGATTGGGGTTGTGTGGATCACAGGCCCTATGCTGATGTCAGGTTTTTCCCCCTTGAATTCGGCCTTTTTAAACTAACGATGTGGCCCAACTGTGGGCCTCCCTTTTGGGTCATTTTGTAATGGACTCATGAAGGACAATGCCTTAGATTTCATCCTTATCAGTTACCTTCCCAACCCCAGGTCATGAGGATGACGTCATCTCTGATATGGGGTTAGAAGCATTTTTTTCAAACGTGACAGTGTTTCCTTGAGCGGCGGTTATGCTTGATTATTGGTTCTAACCCGGTTTGGGTTTCGCTACTGTTCGTCGGCTACGATAAGACGATTATGCACACGTATCAACAACAGGCGAACCCGTAAGTACGATGTTCCTTGTGTGAATTGTCATGCACCTGTCACGAATTGAATGCTGCACATAAAAAGGGGGGAAATCTCCTCGTTTTTCTTGCCTTGTGATTTTGAATCTTTTTTTCCATCGTGTTCCTCCTCTTCTTTTAGTTTTTGAGGCGTCTTGTTCCAGGTTTTGTGGTGACTTAGAGTTTCCACGTTTCTGGTTCCATCCTGCTTCTAGAGCCTTACTAGGTACATTTCTTTTTCCTTTCTCTTTTTGCTCGACTTGGATCCATTCAACCCTCCTTGGTGGGGCTTTGGGTTTTGCTTTCTGATCTGGAGATTTAGTTACTTTAGGGATCATTTCGACGATCTCTCTTCCTTTTCACAATTTGTAGATCATTCTTCTTGGGTAAGAGTATCCTTCCTCAGGGCCTGGTGTTTGAAACCATTGTTTTTAATGGATTGTGCCTCGCATTTGCCTTCCCTACATTCTGGTTTGCGACCTGAACCATTGATGGGGAAGTTTGTCATTTCCTCTTCTGAGTCAGAGTCCGAGGAACAGGTCAATGAAGAGGCTACTTGGGCTTCTTCTAGCGACCGTTATTTTACTGTTAAGGAGGGGACTTCTGGGTTCATCCCTGGGGTTTCGTCCTCAGCTCCTTTAGCAAAGGCTCAGGCTCCCCCTGTTTTACCTCTTATTCTCTATAACCAACTGAGGAAGAGGAAATCCAAGCCGATTCCATCTTCCACTCTTAGGAAAAAAATTCGTTGAGACCAATTCGATCTAACTTGTTGTGCAAAGGAGACTCCCAGTTGTATTGATGATGATGATTTGGAGGAGTTGAGGCGGGAGTACCACCTCCCTGACTTCATGGACTTGCACTCTCCTGAGGAGAACGAAAGGTGCAACTCCTCTCTTCCCAGGCTAACATGCTTCTTCGAGTCTGCATTTCGGGCCAGTCTCCGATTCCCTATTCACCCCTTTATTCGGAATGTCGTCGATTTTTATAATGTTTGTCCAGCTCGGCTCTCTCCCAACGGCTGGAGCCTTCTAATCAATTTTCTTTTTCATTGGTTTGAGAGTGGAAATGACTCCCCCCTTCCATCCGAGAATGTGCCTCCCTCTTTTAGCTCAAGTCCTCTCCTTCCCTAGGCTTCTTGTACTTTGCCAAGAGGGTAAAGGCAAAGACCCTGATTTATGGGCTTCCCTCCTCCAATAAGGGGTGAAAATCGAGTGTTTTCTTCGTCAGAGGTGACTCTTGGGAATTGTCAGGGGAGCCCAGTGACATCCCACGCATTCCCAAGTTTTGGGGGGTCCCAAGGAATACTGGTAAGGTCAGCTGGCTAGATGTGCTCATCCTTCATGTATTCATTCTTTGTTAGTGCGTCGTTGACTCCTAATTTATCTTGTAGGTTTTTGTCCAACACTCAACGCCGAGGAGGCTACCAGAGTTGCTAAAGTCGAGGCTTTAGGGTTGCAATCTTTCTTTCACTTGGTAATCGATGAGAACCTTGCTAGATACGTGCTCGGCCCGCCCGTTGATCCTGCCCTGAAGGTTGCGTTGTCGCCTGCCCCTAGCCTAAATCCATGGATCAGGACTTAATCATGGCGATATTCTTAGATATCAAGAAGAGGAAGTTGGTGAAGGGGCCACTACCGTCATTCAAGGAGGTTTCAGCGTCTAGCCCAACGCCTATTTCCTCAGAGCAGAAGCATGAGGACCTCCCCTCCCTAGGTGGTGCGGTTGTGCCCTCGTTACCCCTCGAACTTCCTAAGAATAAATCTCCTCCTGAGGGGGCTTCAATGGGCTAGCCCGGGGTTTTGGCAGCCTCTCACGCTCCTCCTCAGCCTATCTCTCAGAAAGGCGGGATGGAGGAATCTATTCCCTCCAAGTCCAAGACGCAAAGGAGTAGCTTCCTTCGCGATGCTGAGGCTACTTGACTGCCTTATCTGAGTTGATTTCCACTTCGGACCCTAGAGCGGTCATGCAGGTTCCTTATAAAAGAAAAATTCAGCATACCATCCGGGGCTTGGCCAAGGTATTTCCTATTTTTACTTATGTATTTCCTCCGGGATACTATTCTCGAAGCTCTTTTGGTTACTTCCTGTGCTAATCGACTCCTTTCTTTTCCCATTCAGTTGCCGGTGTGAGGATGTTAGACTTTCACTGTGAGCAGGAGCTCCTGAATGCTAAGGAATTTTTTGACGTTGTGGTGACGGGTAAGGAGGCCGTTGAGGAGAAGGCGGAGATTCTGTCGACAGAGACTTTTGAGCTGAAGAGGATTCACGATGAGCTTGACGCCTGCCACCAGGACTTTATTAAGCTCAAGGATTCTTCGATAAAAACCCAGTAGGTGAGCTTAAAGCTAAAGACGCCGAGCTGGCATCCAGGGACATCAAGTTGGAATTTTTAAGGGTCCGAGTGACTGATTTCAGAAGAAAGTGCCTCTACCTTTGTGAAGGGATTCCTGAACTGTCGGGAGCAAGTTGAGGATATTTATTCCGACCTTGACCTTGATTCCTTTGTGCCACAGCTTAGGTTTAAGAAGATGGTCGAGGTGGTCGAAGAGGCTGAGACATCTAGTGTCGAGAAGGCATTTGTACCCGAGGGAATTGTGATAGAGGAGCTCAGTGCCCATACAGAAACAGTTGGTGGGGGAGTTGGTGGTGGTAAAGAAACTGTTACTTGAGGCTTGGCTTGTGGTTACTTCTTTTTCTCTTTGTAATTCGTTGATGACCCTTGTTCTGCACTATTTCCCTCTCTTCTTAATGGCTATGTAACTTCTTGAGTGTGTACTCGTATATTTTTTTCTGACAAGGACACTGTTGCTAGTTTTCCATTTATTACGAACGATGTGTGTCTATCTCTTCTACCACAATTCTTCAAGATTGTGTAAAAACTAGTGGGTCAAGAATCATCATTTTTTCAAAAGAAAATGAAACGTTACTAATAGACATGTGAATTGAAGGTTACTTTCAGGGTCCTCCACTGTAAAAATCAAGAAAATTGTATCTGAAACTTATACATCAAACATCTTCAAGATACATAACAGGTACATGAAATTTACTTATTAGAAATTGCTAAATGCATATTACACCATTTTCTAGAATAATTTTATAGCCTTAAGGGGTATATCATTATCAAAAAAAAAAAACACGCATCAATTATAGGAATCTAGCAAACCATG